ACACAATAGCATCTCCCTGAACGCATCCTTTAACAATTAATAATAAAGATCTGTTCGCATTGCTTGAAATCCCCAAAACTTTTTGTACTTAAAAAGAAATAAACATAAATTCGAATATTGGAAAGAAAGCGAAGATACTGAGTGCAAAAAATATAAGCAACGTAAATAGATCTAAAACTGTTACAGGGCAGAGCAACACTTTTTTTGCCAGATTCATTCATTTCATGCAAAAACGCGCCGAATAAATCCATTTTATTGATTTTTAAGGTATTATAACTAAACTGTATAATTATCATATATTTCAAGATATATAAAAGCTGTGAATATGAAGAATTTATTTCTCTAATGACATAAATTATTACATGTCTGAATATTGGATCCATAATAAATTTGTGACTTTGATTCATATTTTCTGTATTAATATATCAACAACTTTATTAATAGATTCCAACAAATTTGGTCAGAGAATGTTGGAGAAGATGGGTTGGACAAAAGGAAAAGGACTTGGCATTAATGAACAAGGCATTAAAGAATTTTCCAATACATCGTACAAGAACGATACAACTGGTAACTAAACATTCATAATTTTCACATAGAAGCAAATTATATTTCATAAGTTTTACACTGTTAAAAAAAATGTAATGGAAATAAATTTCAAGCAGGTACATTAAAAATATTTAATTCTATTAATGATGAAAGTGAGAGAGAAAATACAAGTAATTTAAATATAATGTTTCATATCTGTTAAATTTCGTGTAAATTCATATAGTTTAATAGAAAATATACTAAATTTCATAAAATTTTATGAAAAGTACACTAAGGATACAATCAATTCGATGCTACAAATGTTTTAAAGTAGTTTTTAATTAATCAATTTATAAAATTTTTTCTTTTAATTGATCAATCAAACGTTTCAAAGTATTTGAAACTTTGACTGCAGCCACAATTTCATGTACATATACGCAAATGTACAAATTTCAATTATAGATACAAAATTATAGATACAAAATTATAGATACAAAATTTAATGTGATGTCATGAAATTGAATTTGATTTGTGTAATTTAAATATACATTAAATTTTATGACATTTTTAACAGAATGTTTAAGCAGAATTTTATTTCCTTTCTAAAGGTGTAGGATATGATAAAAGTTTTGAGGCGTGGACTGAACATCAGCATAAATTTGGAAGCTTTTTGCAGCAACTTAATGGAAATCAAGATCAAGATGCTATTGAGGAGTCAGTAGATACGAATGCTAATTTCAATGAACAGTCTATTGAACTGAAATCTAAACAAAGTCACGCCCGTGTACAGTAAGCATATTATTTTCTAATTTCTGTGAATACAATATATAAATATAAGATGTGTATACACACTCAGATTTAGACAAAGTTCAAAGTAATTTTTATGATGTTTAAATATTTATAGGAATATACTAATATTTTTTTAATAAAAATACTAATAAATGTTTTTTTTTATATAATTTAAAAAATATATTAATTTATTTGCAGTTACAAGAAGTTTACGCGCGGTAAAGATGTAAATAGATATAAATCAAAAGATTTGGCAAATATATTTGGCCAAAAAGAATTAATTGAGAAAACTCAAGTCATGATAGAAAAAAATAATATCCGCGAAAAAGAAGCTGACAACAGAGACAATTGGTATGGAGTCAACACAATTAATAGCGGTAACATGGTTGACTACTTTAAACTTAAGTTAAATAGTAATGATATGACTAATTACTTGAAATATAATGTAAAACCAAAAAATGATACGAACTTATCAAGTATAATTGATAACCCAACAATTAATTCTGAAAATGAAAATGATCAACACATTGGTTTCGAGTTTACACCAAAAATAGAAAATACATCAGTGTCTAGTTATAGAGCATTAAGAAACTCTGATGATAAGAGCAATTATGCTTTTGATAATCCTTGCTTAGGATTCAATAGTTCTGTAGAAACTGCTTGTAATATCAATGATTCTTCTGTAAACTCTATAAAGAAGAGAAAAAAAGATTTTGAAAGTGATAATTCGCATATCACTGAAACAGATAAAAATAATGCTAGAAAAAAATTTAAAACTGAAACTATTGATAGTGATTATAAAAATGGTTTTACTAATCCAGCTCTTAATCTAGATACAAAATCTGAGGATTGCAATGGTAAGGAATTTGAAGTATTCAGAGCACAGCTTGGCCTTGAAAATTGTGGTTTAGATCTGACAGACGAAAGAAACAACAAGAAACGCGTAACATTTAACGATCATGTCATGTTGTACAAATATAATATAAATTCCATTAAGAAGAAAAAGAAAGGAGAAGCCACATTAGATAAATTTGAAGTTGAAAATAAGAAGAATAAAAAGAATCGGAAACACGAGAGCACTGCGACTTCTACGATGAACGGAATTGTTAACGAAGCATTAGACGTATTAATATTAACCGAAGAAATTAATGATAATGAGTTGAATGAACACAAGAATAAAAAAATTAAGAAGAGGAAGATAAGTAAAACGTCTAATCTGGAAACGATACAAGAGTCACCAGAAAAGGAAATAGAAATCATTATAGAATCAGAAAATACTTTAGATTCTAATATTATTGAAAATGGAGAAACAGACAATGTGGAAAAATCGAAGAAAAAAAAGAAGAAAGACAAAAAAGAGAAAAGAGTCAAAGTTGAAGATATTACAGTACTTCGTACCATAAACGAAGAACCAGATATTGAAATTATAGAAGTAACTAGCAATAAAAAAATCCTAAAAACTAAAGACAGTAAAGAAGAAGAAACGGTATTATCTAAGAAATGTAAAAAGAAAAAGAAAAAAGATAAGGAAAATTGCAAGAATGAAAAACATATTCAAACTGAAATAAATAATGATCAACAAGATATTAAGATATTGGATAAATCAAACTCACAACAAAATGATTATTTAATTGAGAGTGAAAATAAGACTGCAGTAATAATTAAAACATTGCAGTGCACAGTTCCTGTCACTGAAGAAGAAAAGTCATTAGAAAAAACTAAACAAAAGAAGAAAAAAAGAAAACACATCAACAAAGAAGAATATTCGAGTGAAATTAATGTACATAATATAGAGAGGGAAATCTCTGATAAGGAAAATGCTGACAAAGAACAAACTTTAAATACCAAAAAATTAGCAAAAAAGAATAAAAAAGGCAAGAAATTAAAAAATAAGAATGTATCAGATGTAGAAGATTCTTCCAATCTTAACGAAGAAGTTGTAGACTTAAATGTTACAAAACAAGACAAGATAGAAAATATGGAATCTACTGATACACCTTCCAAAAAAGGAAATGTTATTGATATTATCGACAATATAATCAATAGTCCATGGAGTGTAAAAGCAAGGATGCCAAAGAAAATGTTAGTAACACTTTTCCAAAACAATGCAATATTAGAGTTTCCAGGTTCTAATATTCATAATATAAAGGGATATGGTATAGATGTTGAAAGCGAGCAATAATATGTAGAATAATACGTGGAATTTTGGTAATGAAACATTTTTTGTAACAAACGATAAATATCTCTGGCTTGAGAAGAATTTTATACTTATAATTATATAATTATACAAAAATATAAAATAATTAACAGCTCAATAAAATTAAAAATTAAATATACGTCAAAGGATTATCATGAATCAACGCTGGTTCATGATAGCTTTTTGATATTCTTTGACATAGCTTTTTGATATTCTTTGACATATAACAATATGTTATAATTACAAACAATTCTGTAATTATCATATAAGCATTTATGTACAGAGTTTTATTTCAAATGTAATGGGTTAAATACCTCAGAAAATATGAAAGATACGAAAAAATATTTTAGATGAAAATGGAATAATTTCGAAGAAGATATGTTTGGTCGCGTTGTTTTTTCTCGCGTGTAATTTTGAATGATCCCTGCTCGATTGATTTGAAATTTTACATATAAGTTTTTGATATAAGAAATAAAAAATTTATAGTCTTAAAATTTATAGTCTTCGAGAAATAAAAAACAAATTTTTGTTATATGACAATTTTTATTAACTTAAATCCAGATTAAGGAAATACGACTTTTCACGCGAAGTGACTTCCACCCCATCTCCTCTCCTTAGAGGTGCACGACTTCCATGCGAAGCAACTCTTACCTAGTCTTCGCCCTGTTTAGGAGCGTACTTTTCGACTCCCATCCTATCTCCTCCCTGTCAAGAGGCGCACGACTTTTCACATAAAGTTGATCTACCTGAATGAAAAGTGATAAAATAAAAAAAATTTTTTTTCATTTTCCGAAGTTGAGACTTGTTTTTTATTTCTCACATTAAATAGAATTTGTGTGCAAAATTTCAAGTTAATCGCGAGGATCATTCGGAACTATATACTTTTTTTCTAAATGGAAACCTTATAAAAATTTTATGAAGGTCACCTCCATTTTTTAAATAAAATTATATGATTTTTTTATGTAATATGATGCCTCTTATTATTCTGCATATACAAATATTAAGTTAGAGATATAAAAAAATTTACGAGATATTGTATATTTTAGTTTGGCACATATTGAGATAAAATATGAAATATTTCATACAGGATTAATTTTTTGATAATCGTATCTTAATACTTTTGTGAATAGAATAACGAGATAAACTGATTAACTGATATAAAAAAAATAGTTATTTAAAAAAATATATGTGTATAGGCAAAATGTATAATTTTTTACAAAATGGCTTATATGTTTGACATTAAATGTGTGTATGTATATAAATATACATACATATATAT